TCTCTTTGTGTCTATATATGTCTATTTTATTCTACATATACCAGTTAGTCACCTACAACGTAAGACGAGGCACATATGTGCATCGGTTCAAGTTACCATACCTCATTAGCATAACAAGATGAACACCGGATTCATAGAAGTTTTTAATTCAGTGGTGGTAATATATATAACTTATAAGTAAAGATGGATAGTGATCAACAGTGGAATCCAGGACGTGTGCTTCGTCCTATCTGGGACTCGTCAGCTCCATGTACCTGCATTACATAGTTGATGTTCACTCCGGGAATCAAACCCAGTATTGTACGCCTCACACACCATCGCGTTGTTAATTCAGTTACTGAGTCCTGATAGCCACTTGCTTTTGCAATGGGGTGAAGTTTAAATTCACTTGATATTATTGGCTTGTAACTTCCCATTGTTGTTTAGGACTACAATTGATCAATCTCTTGTTGGCATATCTGCATCCTGTACGAGTATATCCAGCTGACTAGTCTCAAATGGGACAAAATGTGCGTCCTCGATTATATTACTAACTACTATCCATCTTTACTTATAATGCTTGTGAATTAAGGCAATACGCACATTATACACATATTCCAATACGAGACTGATCAATTGAAGTTTTAAAAATCAATGAGAACATACAAACAAACAATACCAAGTATATATAGTGTATCTTATTACTCCAAACGAATCATAGATATATTAGATTAAACCACGAAGATACTCAAGAGAAAAAACCCAGTTGAATATTTAATTAGTATACTTTGAAAGTAAATTAACTGATAACCAATTTCTAAAATTAACATCTTATTAATTAACTATTTGTCTACCAAAAAAAAGTCATCCTACACCAAGTGATTATTATTTTGTTGATTCTATTAGTGGATTCATATTATAAATTATAATTTCTATTTACTGTTGTGTTTCTTTTTGTTATGGTTCGTTATTGCTTGAATGCTATTACTGATTCGTCTTACTCGAACGGAACGAAGGATCAATGATTCAGCGACTCGATAGCTATTCTGGTTCGTTGTCTCCGACTCTGCTAACTCGATCAAGAAGTCTGGGTAAAGTGTAGAAAGTGTATTCTACAGACAACAGCAGATAACAAGTCAAGTCAAACACACAAATCAAGCGTATTTATACAAATATTTACAATCGATATTGTCATAGGAAATTTTTAAACATTAATCAATGAGTTCATTAATTGACCTATTTGCGCATTTAATCGATAGTTCATCAATTGACCTATTTGCGCATTTAATCGATAGTTCATCAATTGACCCCAATAAAAATATCTAACATTTAATCAATAAGATGATCGATAAGATAAAATTTAAAAATATGAGTTTGGGGATCTATCGTCCCCAACACTTTTTTCTCCCCTAGTCAATGTGACAATTTTAAAAATAATAATTAAAAAAAATTAAGCGAAATAGTTGAGATCATGAGTCGATTGAAGCTAGATCACCATGTGAAAACTGGAAGCACTGAATATCTGTTTCGTTCTGTTGTGGAACTCCTCACCAGTGTGCACGCGCGACCCCGCCTTGCAGGATTTGAATCCAGGAATTACTGAACTCGCGCGCGAGCACTTAACCAACGGTGTTAATGTCTAACTTGAACTAATACACAAAATTGAGCGACACATCCACCATTGTCTTCAGTGAGTTACTATCTTACAACAGAGTCAGTTGAACTCCACTAGTCACTGCTTCTCACTAGAACTCCAGGAAATACCTCTTGAATTCATTCATTAGTGAGCATATGTTGGTTAATATCACAAGGGTTTTTGTGTAGATTTTAATAATTTCAATAGTTGAAATTTTGAGTCAATTGAAGGTGGATGAGTATTGTTGAGGAGTCCCAAAATACGACGAAATGACCGTCCAGTGATGTTCTAGCTTCAATTGACTCGTCATCTCAACTACTTAAATTACTACAATTTCTACAAAACCCCTTCTAAACTGAAATAATCAATTTTTATGACAAGTTTATCTTTTTTTTTTAAAGAACTTATGGAACTGATCTTGTCTTTTATCTGGTTCATTTTAATGTTCTACTAACTTCTTCCTCCCCACCCATTTTTTTTTCTGAATTATTGTTTGTTTTTTTTTAATGAAAAAATTAAAGTATAAATTAACATACTACTAGTACAATTTTGTTTATCTTTCATACACGCACATATTAAATGAACATTTAAATAAATATATAAATAAAACTTAAATCAATCTATTTAAGTTTCTAGGGTATACTCATGGGAATTTAATAAACATTAAACTAATCTGTTAGAAACAGTTGAACTGAACATGGTATAATATCAAAATATAAAATAATGTAGGTAAATAGAATTTATAATGTAACTTGAATATTTGTCTAATATGTTGCACATATATTTTTAATAAGAAGTCAAATAGTATTTATACAGTTTAAAATTATCATAAAAACAAGATGAATTGTAGTGTGAGCTACTTATATTTACACAAGTAGTATATAATGATAGTCAGAATGTATTTTAGTAGAAGATTGAAAAAGAAAGAAAGAACAGAACAGAACAGAAACGGAAAGTAAATTGATATGAAAATGCATAACTAATGAAATCTGAACCAATGGATTGGTATATACAAAAGAAACAGTCAAGTTTAAGACGATGGATTAATATTTTGCAAATTAACTATTTACTCTATAGTTCTCAAATTTTAGTGTGGTGTTCTGTGATTTCATGTTTACTTACATTCGATTGTCTATACTCGTGTTCTTGTTCACTGTCATGTTTTAGTTTAATCAAATTAATTTTTCATATTACATTAGAAATTGTACAGTAAAGCTGTTTTGCTTTATTTTTTAACAAACAAGTACTCATGACAAAAACTATCTGAAGTTGTAGGGAATGAGAGTTCAGAAGGAGAAAAACAACTTACTGTTTAATATAAAATTACAGAATTTCTTTATAGAATATGAAAATCATACATTCAATACTTTATTCGCATATCTATCATCAATTGTCTTGTACAAACTTCATCATTCTTTCATTCCTGTTGTTATGAAAAGCACTTTCTGTTCACATTTCTGTTCTCTTCAATTCGATCTTTTCAACCTTCTGCTGCCAGACATTCCAATTCTAATTAGTGTTACATACTACTTATGTTTGTAGACATAAGTAGCATACACCACGAAATGATATTAAATACCATCACTTTATTCACTTAGCTAGTGAGTCCAGATAGCCAATCACTCGGTGGCATTGAAGTAAGTGGCACTGTGTTCGATTCCTAGAGTGGAAATCAATTCTGGGATAATAGCATATCCAGCTGATGCATCCTAAATAGAGTGAGACGTGCATCATGGATTACTCTGCTAACCACATCTCTTCTATTCTATACTAACTTGAGAACTTTTACATTTCCGTCTATTACGTATTGGCTGCTTGGTGATCACTAATAGTGATGTTAGATAGTCAGACGTCATAAACAAGAACCTCTATGCCTAGAATGGTTTATCAAAAGTATTTTGAATTGATAAGTGTAAACAGAAACTACATGTTAGTAAATGCATTTATTCTATAAAATTCATATTTGATGAAAAATCTACCTCTAAATTAATGCTCTGAACAAATTATTCTAACCATGAAGTTACTTTTGTTCACTTCAATAGCTCGTTTTTATGCCATAATAGAACGTGAGTGTTTATCAGTTTAAGATGAACTTAAAAGTGTTTTCGTGTTTGAAACCTTCTACATAGTTAAATTTAACATTTAAAATGAATATATGTTACCTATGATAAGTAAAAGCAGATACATGCTCTTAGAAGTGACAACCTATCTTCCAATAAATAAATAATTTTCTCTGAAAACCACCTTTTCAAGGGAACGCACGCCTGTGAATTGTCTCAATGATCTAATGAGTTGAAATCCATTAGTTTATATTACCGATTTTTGCGTAGCTAACATCGAACACCAACGGTGAAGCTAAATTCCATAGATCACTTTACCCTACCTAATACATATAGTAATTCATATTGAAATAGGTTATTCGTGATTGAATTATGATTAGATACTTGGCTGTTAATCAATATTCATACTATATATATGTTCACAGAAGCTAGGATATCAGTAACTTGCTAGAATATGTTTCTGGTGTAATCACCCAAAAATCAAGTTATTTGATGTAATCTTTCTATAGGTGCGCATTCCAGTCATTAAACATTACTTTAAGTATACTTATTATCGATAATATCGTGATCTACACATTAAAATCTACCATCTATTTCGGGCATAAACTAGGTATTGAGTCAAAGTTTGTGATTATATGATTAATGGTAAATGAATTTTTTACTCTTTATTGTATTGTGATTATGTTGATCAGCAGTTGGTACATAAATTCGTCTATAACATTAAGCATTTGCTGTCGACGTATACATTGACATAAAAAGATTACACTTAAAACAATATGCTACAGGAATGAAACAAAAACGTATTGTCAAATGATTAAAACAAATAGCTAAATACTGGTTTACTTTTACCTCTGTTTTTCAATCTGTTAGAATAAACTAGCGTGTTACTGTTACCATCTACGATACGCTTCTGAAAAGACCATAAAAATTTCCTTGTTGTAAGTACTGTAGAGTCAATTCAAACATATTTTTAAGAGTGAGGGATTTCTAAAATTCATTTGATTATATATGAGTAAGTAGGGTCTGATTGAGAAGCTTTCAAAATGAGATGGTGGAGAAGATTTGTAGCTCAGGTGGATGATTTTGGTGGAGTTTTGTTCTCTGAGCTGGATGGTTTGGTCGTGGAGCTTTTATCGTTCTTCTGAACGACATCATCAGCACAAACTTCGAACACTTCACTTCTATCTGAAGTTTGTGCTGATGATGTCGTTCAGAAGAACGATGAAAGCTCCACGACCAAACCATCCAGCTCAGAGAACAAAACTCTACCCAAAAGCTTTGAAAATAATATACACAGTAGAAGTTTTTAATAGAAAGGAACTTACTTCATTGTCTTTTAAAGCATCTAATTTTTCATTTTCAAGTGTTGTTATAAACATATGACTTCTTGAATCAACTACTTCTTTATCATTCTTATCACATTGACCATGATCTGTTCGATTTTCTTCATTGTCTTTATTATTTTCTGCTTGTTTTCCAACATGAACTTCTACTTTCTCTTCCCATTCATTTCTATCTTCTTTTACATCATCCTCTTCCAATGTACTTAATAAATTTAATTGTGTAGAAATTTCTCTAGCAGTATCTACAACAATTTCTGACGTATTAAATAAATTCGACCATATTTCCAATTCCGGTTTTATATCATCAAATAAATTGGAGGGTAAACATGTAGATGTATCAGATATCTAAATTGTCCACACAAAAAAACAAACATGAAAAATATTTTAAAGAAAGCTAAATACATAAATTACATAACATGAACACTGATTTACATTACTTATCTTCCATGTTATTCACATTGAATTTTATTATGCCATCTAGTAAACAATAGATTATACATTATGATAGTAACAAGATCAAGTTATAGAGATACACAACCAAAAAAATCTAACTTCCATACTAGTACAAAAATATTTGTCTCATGTTTCCTAGTTTTCAGTTGTTGTTTAAATAAGATCAGTCCATGATGTAAACCGAAAAAATCCAATTCACACCACAAACCACCTGCAGAAGTTAATAATCATAACTCTAAGAAGTGATTTTAGGAATTGTAATGAGAAACTATAATCAGTGAACTTTAACAATGTCTGATTTAAGACAGTTATCCACTGCAGGAAATGAAAGAAGATTAAGTATTATCACCAAATTTTAGTACATTGAGTTAGTGGTTTAAGGATTAATCGTTCACTACGAGTCCTGAAGATTCTGAGTTCAATCACCAATGATGTTGTAGACAAATACTATTGAAGAGTCCCGTAGCGGGATGAAACGCCTGTTCACTGCTACCTAAACCGCGAAAATAGAAGCTGTCCTGATAACTAGTGAGCTTAAAATACAATTACTAGAAACACTTCAGATTGGAGAAAAGTACCATAAAGATATCAAGGATAAATGAAATGAATTCATAAATACTAACAGATTTTCCAATGTTCATTTCATTGTTACAAATACATAACATTCCTAGTGTGCAATAATAAATCTCATTTCTTGCACCATCAACTAAAAATTTTAAGAATTTCATTGCTAATTTTCTATATTTCAATAGTTGAGATCACGAGTCAATTAAAGCTAGACCACCATAGAAAACGTGGAAACATTGGACGGCCGTTTCGTTCTAGTATGGGACTCCTCAACAGTGTACATTCAACTTCAATTGATTCATGATCTGAACTATTGAAATTAATAAAATCTCCACCAAAGCGCTCGCGCGCGGGACTGGTAGGTCCTGGGTTTGAATCTCACGGAGGGGCGGGATCATGGATGCACACTGCTGAGTCCCACAATAGGACGAAATGGCCATCCAGTGTTTCCAAGTTTTCCATGGTAGTCCAGCTTACATCGAATGATGAATTGAACTATTAAAAAAACAACTGAATATTATCGCATTTTCGGAATGTAAATCAAATCTACATTTTTCAACCTTTTCATATTACAATTTATTTCTGTTTCAAGTTCAGTTTTCATAGTTATAACAAGATTAATAACAAGGCTGTTCAGATTATTATTAAAAAAATAAATATATTCAGCCAACGAATCGGTGAATTTTCATTTTGATGTTTCAAAAATTTACGGTTTTCTTGTTGTAAAACTATCATTATGAGTGTACTTAAAGTTAGATGAAATGTAACAGGAAGTAATCGATATTTTACATTCCTTAAATTTAGAACAAAATGGATTTGTATCAGAATGGGCACTTGTGGAGATCGTAATAATTTTAAGAGTTGAATTTATGAGTCAATATAAGCTAGATCATCATCGAAAACATGGAAGTATTGAACAGTCATTTTATTCTAGTATGAGACTACTGATCAGTGAGCATCCATGACCCCATACATGGGACTCAAATCCAGGACATTCAAGTCTCGCACGTGAACGTTTAATCTCTAGACTACTGAGTCGGAATCAAAAGGTTATAATGTCTTATTTCAATCGATCGTCGATATACACTGATGAGTGGCCCCATATTAAAACGAAACGGTTTTCAGTATTCCCAGGTTCTTAATTGTTGTATAGGCTTACTAGACTCATGAATTCAACTATTAGAATGAATTTTGAACTTTTTTGATGATTATTTATGAAATCACATGCATGTAACAACTATTAATATTTTCAATAATTGTCTCGAACTTCATTGTTCTTGCATTTCCACACTAATTGCTTTCTATTCCTGCTCTTCCTTTCTTGATTTTCCCCATCTTCTGCTGCCAGACAATACATTCCTGACTCGCGTCATATACTATTTATATCAATATAAGTAGCACGCACCACACTAGGATCTAAATAATATTTTACTCCTACTATTTTTCTGAAGTTTCACTACGTATGTAAATAATTTATATTTTTCATGGAGCTGAAAGTAATGAATGTAGATGTACAGTTTGTTATGAAATAAAATAGAGCATACATTAGTCTTTAATCGAATCGTTTTTCTAAAATATGAATCGGTTTGACTAAAGATTGACAGATCATGGTTACATCTTGTATTTGTGTCTAATATTTGATTGATTATTCCTTCAACTTGATAAAATTGAAATTCGTTAGAGAAGATTTGTAGCTTAGGTAGATGATTGTGATAGATTTTTTTTCTCTGAGCTGGATAGTTTGGTAGAAGTCTACTTGAAGTTTATGCTGATAATGTCGTTCAGAAGAACGATGAAAGTTTGATGACCAAACCATCTAACACATAGAACAAAACTCCATCAAAATCTATTTTGAGCCATGGTTAACACGGTAACTGTTTGTGATGATCAAACCAATGTTAAATGCACTCACAGGTCTAAGGTATTGCTTAGTATAAATAAAATAAACAAATCATATTCATTTTATAAATGAAAATAAATAGCTATTTTTAAGTATAGTGTTGTTATGGAGATTGAAGAATTTTCATAGTTGAAATCATGAAATGATCTTCTCTAGGTCACCACTATAATCCTGGAAGCATTAAACAGTTGTGTTAGACTAAAATGGAATTTATCAGTAGTCTATATCCACAATCACAAGACCTATAGGACTATTAACAAGCCTATAACATTTAATCCACAGATTCAGAACCCGATGATGTATATGCCTAATTGTCATAATTGCACGATATTATGTGAATTGCTTACATTGTAATCAACAGTTAGTAATCTCAGTAGTTGAAGTCATGAGTCAATTGAAGCTAGACCACTATGGGAAATCCGGAAGAACTGAATGGTCGTTTCGTCCTATTGTGTGACTACTCAGCAGTGTGCATCCACGATCCCGCCTCCTGTGAGATTCGAACCCAGGACCAATCAGTCATGCGCGTGAGTGCTCAACCATTAGACCACTGGGCCGGCCGGTATCCAACGGTGTTAATATCTAACTTCAGCCAATCCACGAAATTGAGCCACAGCCCACCATTGTCTTCAGTGAGCTGATATCTCACAACAGACCAGGTTGAACTCCACTGGCCACGGCTTTTCACTGATAAGTCCTTGGTTCGAATCTCGCGGAGGCGTGAGATCGTGGGTTCACTCTGCTGAGGAGTCCCATACTTGAACGAAACGCTCGTCCAGTGTTTCCAGGTTTATCATGATGATTTAGCTTCAAACGGTTCATGATTTCAACTATTATTACTTTATTGTTTGAATTTTTTTATAGATTATAATAGTAAATGAATATATCATCAAAGTTTCTTTTTGTTATCTTTTTAATGTTGCCTATTAATGAAGAAACTTTATTTCAATAAATTATCAAATATATTTAAATTACTATCAGAAGGGGTGTTCTTTTGTGTGTGTGTGTGTGTGTGTGTGTGTGTGTGTGTGTGTGTGGAGACTATAGTAGTTTCACTAGTTGAAATCATGAGTCAATTGAAGCTGGACTAATATGGAAAATCTGATATTTAAATGAAATCAGCAATTATCTATATTGTCATAGATAATTATTCATAATTATTATTTTTACTTTATTGAAGAAGAAGAAGAAATAATAATGAAAGATAATTATTTTCTTTATCATAAGGTTGAAGTATAGAATCAGACAAAAACAAATCAAGTTATGGGCAAATTTTCATATTAAATTATATATATATTTCATAGTTGGATTAATGAATTGATTAGAGCTAGATCACTATTAATAATCTGAAAGTATTGGACAGTCTTTTCATCCTAGTAGGGGACATTTCACTAGTACAACATCACGATCCTATACGTCCAACTCGAACTCAAATGCTTCAGTCTCTAGTGCAAACGTTTAACTTTTAAACCAGTAATGATATATATTTTAGATTGACTTGTGAATTCAATTATGAAAATGCTAAAATCTCCACAAATCTCTATATTGTGTATCTATTTACCTAAATTCTTACACTACTCATTAACAAAATATTTTTTTTTAAAAAAAACGTTGAATGTAAGAAATTAGCCAATGTATAATCATCACAGTAGCAAAAGTACTACCAGAAAAAACAAAATCTAAGTATTATATGGATCGGAATGGTAATATTTCAACGAAAGACCGTCAAATACTGAATCTTTATAAATGACAAAGTAATAAAACTATAGAGTTCATACATCAGTTTTAATTGACTTATAAAGCTAAGAAAAGATTTCACAGGTTGAAATCATGAGTCGATTGAAGCTAGACCACCATGGAAAACCTGGAAGCACTGGACGGCCGATTCGTCCTAGTATGGGACTCCTCAGCAGTGCGCATCCACGATCCCGCACCACGCGGGATTGGTTGAAGCTAGACATTAACACCGTTGGATGCCAGACGGCTCAGTGGTCTAGTGGTTAAGTGCTAGCGCGCGAAGCCGGTAGGTCCTGGGTTCGAAACCCGCGTGGTGCGGGATCGTGGATGCGCGCTGCTGAGGAATCCATTGCCAGGACGAAACGGCCGTCCAGTACTTCCAGGTTTTCCATGGTGTTCTAGCTTCAATTGTACATGATTTCAACCTGTGAAATTTCTAAAACTCTCCGAAAAACCCATTCTGCTAGGAAAAGATATTTATCAACAATTGTGTATGTAAAAAGAACAGACAACAATTTTATGAATTATTAAGATATTTAATTGTGAGTACATTACATGTTCTTTTCAGTCAATTTCAACTAACCAAATGATGAAATTCATCAAATGATGTAATAATAATGGATTTATAATATAGATCTTTATTGGATCTTGATCCCTAATCTTATCAAGTGATGCATTTTTATTAAACCCTGAAAGTGTAGATAACTTAATTATAAGTCTTACAGAATTCAACTTAGTTCAGCTTCTCAACAATATTTCAGTGAATATGAGGAGTGAATCAGTAAAAGTTGGAATTATGCACCAATGGTCGTCAAATAAATGGTTTTTAAAGTAATTTACTCACCACTAGACCTGAAGTCTTGAATTCGATTGCTTGTTTTTTCACGCTTAAGCACGGTTGAAAAGTTTCGCACTGGGATGACATACACTTATATTTAATGGTTATTCATCTAAATCCAGCCTGCAATGTAAACGACCGTTAGATGCCCAAATTCCTAAAACCATGTATATAAAGGCTAACATACCTGTCATAATATCTTTTAAAAAGACTTAGGCCAGATTCAGTATATATCTAAAGGCATATATAACTAAAACAAAACATCCTTTCAGGATCCCATTAATTTCCAGCTGTTATTCATCGATTATAAAAAGGCTTCAAAAATTCTATGTTGTTTATTCGTAAATATGAGACGGTTATCCAACGATGAAACTGTGATATTTCGTTAAATTGTTAGTGGACTTCATCCAAAAATGTAGAATGTTGAATCTCAACCTAGTGATCTATGAGGAACATTTTTACTGAGAAATTTAACTTATGGATTCTATCCATGGTACAGCCCCGTATGCATACCGTTTATCATTCTTAAAGCATCGTCAAACAGCTGCTAAATACTGCCTAACCTAACCTTTGAAGTAATTTTTTCTATATTTCCTGCCCTTTTTTACTTTTTGGGGTTCAGGATTTGAATATTTATAGCAACAAGAAAGTGACTTGGAAGTCATTCTATATGGCATTCAAAGCAAGCAGCTTATCAGAAAGACGGAACTCCAAAGGTTTTCCTTAGATATAACGGTAAATTCCCTACACTTTTTGGAAAGAAAAGTTCGTTTCCATGTAAGACTACTCTTAGGATAAGCTATCATTCAATACATTTTGTAACTTTTATAAGTGAATATATTATTTGAATCTAAATTCAGAGTCTCGCGTTGTATTTTTTTCACACTTATATATGAAAATTAAAAGTATCTCCCCCTAATCTTCTAACACTCTTTAATAAAATAAGTTTACTCTTAAAATGTCTCATTAAACTGATTGATTAAATATGAAATTAAATTCGTTTCCATGGTGAAAATACTTAAAATGTCTTACGAGTACTTCGTATTTCCGGGTACTGAAGTAGTATTATTTCAGTTTCTAAAAATAAATTTACCTTGGCTACAGTACAACGTCTAAATGTTTGATGAAAACAAAATACTTCCGTAAATCTACCAGTTGATTTACCCATATTTTGTAAAAAAAAAACCTCTAATTCCATTGCATTAAAATGCAGTGTATTTTGCCTACAAGTGTGTGTTTACTTATTTGAAATTAAGTAGACAGTTTAAAATAAAAATATTTATTATGTGTAAATTCACTTGGTATTGTTTACTTGATTCTTTCTATTAATGTTTAGGACTGCAATTGATCAGTTTCTTGTTGGCATATGTGCATACTGTTCGTATTGCCCTGATTCACAAGCATTATGAGCAAAGATGGATAGTGGATAGCAGTGGAATCCAGTACATGCGCTTCGCTCTATTTGGGACTCGTGAGCTGGATGTACCTACATCCCAGAGTTGATGTTCACTCCGGGGCTCTGAGATGCAGTTACATCCAGCTGACGAGTATCAAATGAGACGAAACGGGTGTACTGGATTACACTACTAGCCACTGTCCATCTTTTCATTTATCATGTGGTCTAAGGCAAAATTGATAAGTATTTTTACAACTATGATACAACAATAACATGTTTTCATTTATACTATAAACAGAAGGTTTAATTATGTAGATATGTGAAGTAACATAGAGGAGATCAACAGGAGTATTGTTTACATCCACTATTACTCTTGTCCAACTATCCTATTAGACTCAAATATTACTCATTTATTAGTAACGGGAGCAACTATTTTATAAATCTGTTATCTAAATAACCGGACTTTATTTAATAATGATGTCCTGAAAACCACTGAGGACAGAACACCGGTGGTAATCTAACTAATATCAGTTTTACCATGCAGATAATTTTCTGATCATTGCAAACCGCTAAAGCTGTCTTCTTTTGTTTTCCGTTGAACTTTAATTTTTGAACAGTATGTACATTCATATTTTAAATTATATTGGATGGAATGTATTTCACTTTAAAATTAGAACTATTTTGTTTCATTGACAGATAATATCGGCCTGGATAACTGAAAGTAAAATGTTGACATTAAGTATCCAACCTCTTGGATGCTGAAAAACATCCTAATACATAAACTATACCTTGACTTATTATAACTAGTAAAATATTCTTGTTTAATAGAATTTTCATTGTTTAAGATATAGAAAGCTTTAAAGAAGCGTTGAAAATTGTGGCAGGCCTATTTTATACTTAACAAAGTTGTAGATAAGATTTTAAAAATAAATCTCTAGGTAATCTGATTCCATGTAAGAGAATTCATGCTATCTGTTCAGGTCAAAGGTCATGTTAACCAGATTGGTTCATCTGTGAGGTCATACGTGATAAAAGTCAGTAAGAATAAAACGATAGAAAACAAATAGGACAAACTTAATGCCCTAAGTGAAATTTTAAGTCCTAAATAATAAGCTTCTATAAACATCAGCCTAAAAAACCTATTTACTTATTGTACCCCGAAAGTCTATGATCACCTAAAAAATCATAGTCATAAAACGGCACTATTTTGGTAAAAGTACAATTCGATATGAACGAGAATGTAAAACTGATTAGAACTAGAGTGTGGTACACTATAACATGGAGATATGTTTAAGTGGCATGAATGCTTGTATTTGGATATTTACTCAATTTTCCGAACTAAAATGGATCGACTAAAGTTAGACATTAAACGTTCGCGATCGAGACCGAGGGTTCTGGGTTTGAATCCGGTGTGCGGGATAGTGGATGAACACTGCTCAAAAATCCCGTATTAAGACGAAACGGCCGGATTGGTTGAGGTTAGACATTGAAACCGTTCTAGCGCGAGACAAAAGACTCTGGGTTAGAATCCCGCGAGCGGGATCTGTATGAATAGAATTCGGTATTACATTTTGTTCAGTGGCATATACATTGAGAGAGCAGACTAGATATTATGGAAATGAAACTCAGAACATATCCCAAAGAATTTGATTTTGAATGGCTCCAAACTACCTAAATACCTAATAATTACATACCAGGTACTGGCTATTCAGGAGATCCTGCGACTGATGTTTAAGTGAAAAATAGACAGAATAATTGCATAATTCTACATAAAGCAGAAACAGCGACTATTCTTCATTTAAACCTCATCCTATTTGTATAAAAAAACTTGTAGTTCGTCTGGAACTGCCATAATGATCGGGTCACTGTTACATTTCGCTTCTCACTTTCTTCTCTTGGTTTCGTTTATTCGACTTCATCTTTCTCGAATAAAACAAAACTTTCATTATTCAGATAGGTTTTCATTTATTATTTATGATAAGTATAGCTAGTCATATCATTTCGAGATTATTCAATTAAACGTTAAACGCCTAAACAATTTGGACATCCAATTACCGTTGTTTTCTCAAACCCTCTTTGACCATCATTAGTAGTAGTATGGTTTTCATCAGTACTGTTATTTGGTTTGGATTTTTGTTAATTACTAACATCTCACTTTTCTTACAGTAGACGTGTTCTCTGGGATGACACTAATAGTACATGTCCAGGCCACCAAGGCGGTGTCTCACGATGGTAACACTAATTAAATTATCGTCGCCGTGCCCGAACATATGTTACCGAACTTCTGTATTACTAGCATGTTATTGCCATTAGATGTCAGCAGTCCTTCGAAGACAACGATGATCAAACACAGAGAGTCGTCTAACATCCTCAGCTCGGAGAGACCAGGTTTCACAAGCATAGAGCAAAACTGCTCTCACCGACGCGTTGTAGATCCGAACTTTTACAGCAAGACTAACAACACAAAAATGTCAAAGATGGCCCGGATTGGCATGAGCCGCTCTATACGTGTATTGGTCTCATCACTCACGCCACCACCAGCATCGACACAGCTTCTTAGATACAAAGACTTCTCGACTACTTTTACCTGCTCACTACCCAAGTTGAGTGCATTTTCGAGATCCTGCTAGTTCTGTAAAAGTACTTTACACTTGCAAGGTGCAGAGCACGTGCCATACCTAGGGACAGTGACTGGCAACTGAATAAGTGCTAGTTGCACGGCTTGGGTATCATCATACAGTAAGACAATATCATCCATATAACCAAAGTCGAGAAGTCTTTATCCAGGCGAAAGATCCTAAACATAGCGTGGAATATTTTCGCAGTTGCTTTTATGTCTGACTTTAGCGTTTTATGTGGTATATTTTCAAGTCCTGCTGTTTCCCCGCCCTTGATTTGTCTGGTGGCTATTCTGATTTCTTCGGTCGTTGGTGGAGTGACATCTATAGGGAGGTCTGTGTGTGCTGCATCGATGTCCGGTGGATTCAATGAAGATGACTTATTCAAGAGCTCCTCAAACTGCTCTACCTATCTGTTCGTCATTTCTCGAATCTTAGTGATGCTCTTGCCTTTTTTGTACATGACTGCTGTCGTTTTGTTCTTCCTTTATTGAATCTTGTTCTGGGTTTCGGTAGAGATCCATTCCTTATGATGATGCTTCTTGTGGCCCAGCACCTCCTGGCACGTTGAAGTTAATGCTTCTTTGATCCTTTTCCAGTTGTCTTCCATCGTAGTTTTTTCTATAAGTTAACATATACTATGAAAATCTTCAATTATATCGGGTCCTCCGTTATTTTCTATTTAGTTTAATATTCCTTTGAATCATCTTAATTGAACACATAAAAATGTGACAAGCTTAAATCTATCTTATGATATCCCATCTATCAAATTACCCAAAAACATTCATACATGCATACAACAAAGAAAAAACAATTAGATATTTACTTGTAGTCTATCACGAAATTCTCGACCCCATACTTTTGTCGGTGTATCATTGTTCATTTCAAGATCTTCTTTTTCATCATTGACAATTTCAGACAATTTCATCAATCCTTCATAGAAGCTACTACTTTCCTCCATTAGTTGAATATTATTATTAATATTATTATCATTATTATTATTCGATAAACGACTGATATTTTCAAAATTGGGACAACGTTTTAATAAAAGGTGATTTTGTTCATTTGTTTCAGTATTACTGTTGCTAGTAATGGTTGTTGTCGTTATATAATTTGAAACTGATGTATCTTGGGAACAACTATTATTGATTAGTGAACATTCTGATATATAATCTTCATGTTTATTTACATTATAATTAGTACTCAATAAATTATCTTGTTGATTCATAGAAACATAATTTGAATTTAATTCATTTAACCAATTTAAATAAAGATCATTCATTGAAGGTTCATAATTAATATCATGATCTTTAATTGATGATTTTATAGTGTCATCTATATAATAACTTCCAATTGAAGTTACGTTAGTAGTTCCTGTCGATATAGTAGTATGAATATTATTTTCATTTTCATTGAATATACTACTTTAATTGTATCATAAGTAATATCGTTAAAATCAATTGTTTTATTTGAAATATTTGTACGATGATATATATTTTCATCTATTTTACGTAAATCTTCAGCATAATCCCATGATTCATTTAAATTATATGGAAAAAATAGATTTAATTGATTTGAATTCATTTCATGATTAGATAACCTATTTGAATGATAAGAATTAGGTTGATCATAATAAGAATGAATGAATCTGTCTTCATTATCATCATCATCATTATCATGATCATGATCATCAGTATTAAAATATTCAAAATAACTAGATTTTGATGCTAAACGTGGTTGTTGTTGTTGTTGTTGTTGAATCATTTGATTAGATAATGATAATACATGATCATCATTAATAATTATTGGATATGATTGTCTACGTGATTGATTATTGCATTGTAAATGTATATGATTTGAATATCTTCCATTATCTTGATTGGTTAACAAAGATTGAGATAAGGATTTTGTTTCATCATTAGTATCATTAATTATATTCATATCTTCATTATATTCATCTGAATTATATTGTGGTATAATTAAACCAATTTTATCTTCATATGATTGTGTATAAGTGTTAAATAGGTTTGTTTTTTCTAAATATTTCATTGATATATCATCCTTAGAATCTTGTTTTATAGATGGTTGTCTATTGTGATAAATCAATGAATTTTCATTAAATGGATCATTTTCCTGATTGATTGAATAAGAATTAAATGATTCTATTATATTTTCTTGATCATTTAATATAATCTGATCTGAATTAGATCTGATTAAATGTTCTTGATTATCATGATAAGGCCTATTCAGATAATCCATTGAAGAGATAGTATAATCTTCAGGTATAAACTGTTGTTTATCTGTATGATGATGTGATAATATGTTGGTTGGTGATACTGGAATATTTTTGAAATAAACGTTTAAATTGTTTCCAATAAATATATATATTTATAAAAAGTTAATTTAATATTAAAAATGAGGCACAAAATTAAATTTTAATATATGTGGCGAGACTCTAAATTATGGACAAGTCAATCAGATACGCTTTGTAGATTTCAAGGTCACGGTGCCAACTTCAGTGCTTAATGCTAACGTACGATCAGTTCACAGGGAATTTTGTACAAAGCGTGATAAATGAGCGGTTATGTGTATCGTGTCGTTATCCACAAGTAGAATTTTGTGCACTCAACAACCGATGTGCACATAAACAGTATTGTAACTATGTGGTCGAGGCTAGAAGAGTTTTTGAGACTTTATCATGGCTCCACAGGCCGACTATTCTGTAGCCATATGGATGATTTCCTCTACTGTATGCATTACGATTTTAGAACCTCTGAACCTCTTTCTAACCTTGAGAAGTTTTTGAACCCACGTATGAGAAGTGTATCCACTTTATTTCCTTGATTTTGTATAATATATTTTCACTCTATACTGACTGTTTGCTGATTGGCGAATATTCTCAAGGGCAATTAAGATTCGTTCAGAGGTCGTCCATAAATAAGTCTCGCTGGAGTAACAATCGAGCTAAATTGCGACTTATTTGAGGTTGAAATATGAACTACTGAATTCTTTGTTAATAGTATAAACATATTATGCCCTCAGAAAAATCTGAAAATCTTGTATTCTACTATCCATTTATCTAGGTAATTGTTTGACTGGACTATTCGTTAACTCAGTCAGTCAGTCAGTTACAACATAGGACCAGGCACATATATACATCGGTTCACGTTGCTACACATCATTAGCACAGCAAGACGAATACCGGATTCATAGAAGCAGTTAACTCAATGGAATGATTTTATGTAAGGATATATTACAGAAAAAAAGAATTCGTTCGTAGAAAGAAATATATAAAATAACTTTAGTCTCATATATCAAGGAAAGATAAAGAGTGTATACACCTACTCCAATGTGATCGATTCTAAGCTATGTCACTCTGAGTCTCTAACCATTGGTTGCAGTAGTCACGTGGATCCCGACCAGGTAGTCTGCATCTACCAACATGACTCAGATCAGAAGTTAGTGGCCTCAAGTACTGATGCCACGTTTTGGTTTGGCCGCCCCTAACATTCCTCCAGCCATCTCCAACACTAGTGAGCATTGCACGTCGTGGTAATTGATATTCAGGCATGCGCAACGCGTGACCCAACCGTCTCAGTCGATGAAGATTCACAACCTCATCAACTGATTTACCATCATTCCCTAATACCCTACGTCTAACCTCACTATTACTTACCCGGTGATCCCAGCAGATGCAAGCAATATTTCTAAGACATCTGTGGTCAAATACTAGTAGCTTACGAGTATCTTCTATTCTTAATGACCATGTTTCGCAGCCGTAAAGTAGAGCAGAACGGACCGCTGATCAATATACACTTCCCTTAATTGATAGACGGATATCTCACCTTCGCCATACGTGACGTAAGTTATCAAAAGCCAAAAGACCTTCCTGAATCCATGCAGAGATTTCGTTACACCTCAGTTAACATGACAGAATATCTAACATAACCTATCTCTGATAATGTAAGTCATAAATCACTCCTGAAATCTTATAATCTCTTCAGTACGAAGAAAGAAAATGATATCTCTTCATGTCTGAGTACTGTCTAATATGCAAAGTCCATTGTATTGAATAGTATAATTAATTATTTATGGATAAATTAGTTAAATTTCTTTTACCTGTACACCATGAAACATTTATTTGATCACTATTATCTAAAGGAACATTTGTATAAGTAGATTGAACAATTTCTTTCCTTTCAGTAGCTTTTTCATCAATAACATCAGTTGGTGTAATCTCTTGTATTTCATCAGTCATGTCTATTCCATCATAACATTCTTCATGATGTAATTGTTGAACTATAGTTGATGATTTATTGTTATGTAAAATTGTTTCATTAAATTGATCATTTTGATTAGATTCATTAGTTTTATCATGAAAATTAACAAGATCAGATTTTTGATTGTCTTTCTCATACACATTATCATTATCATCATCATCACTATCCACACTGAATTGTTCACTAATTTGTTTTGTAAAATACAAATGTAGACGATTTTGATAAGTTCGATTTTTATAATTATCCCTATCAACATCATCATCGTCATCATGAATAACAGCATCATTTTGGCGTAAAAATCTCTGTCCTATTGATACTTTTCTAGTTTCATTATTTACAGGTTGATTATCATTAATGGAATGATATAGTCGGTGTGTTGATTCAACCACCTCTTTAATACTGTTTTGTTCTGAAGCTCTTCTTTGATGAATATTTTTTAATATAGAATTTTCATGAGATTTTACAAGTTGTGTATTATCCTTCTGTATTAATTGTTTCGATTCTTCTTCTTTTTCTTCCTCACCTTCATGTTCGTCTTGATCTCCACTATTTACTGTAGATTCATCTAAACTAACCTGATCAATTAAATCTTCATATTGAGAATAAGATGCTGTTCGTGTGATTCCATGTGTTTTCTTTAAAAATATGGGAAAAAATGAGTTTAATATAAACAAATAAATAATTTCAATAGTTGAAATCATCAGTCAGTTGAAGTTAGACCACCATGGAAAACCTGGAAGTCCTAGACGGCCGTGGGTGCGCAATGCTGAGGAGTCCCATACTAGGACGAAACGACCAGTTTTTCATGATGGTCTAGCTTCAATTAACTCATGATTTCAACTATTGAAATTTCTAAAATCTCCAAAAATCCTTGCTGAAAATAAATAATTATAAGCATTTTTAATTATAACGTGTTAGTTATAAGGTTAAATATTATATTTTTTATGTAATCCTCTAGTTATGATTATTATATTTCCCATTCGAATGCTAATACCTAAAGTATTTCAAAGCTTTGATCATAATCATATTACTGATTGTGAATTTGGGGTGTTTAGAGTTGATGAAATGCAATGAACCAATGAAATATTAGTGCAATGTCCAAGGATTAGACTTAACAACCAGATATTAATTGGTTGAAGAATGAGTGACCTACAAGCTAATTTTCTTCAATCATATAAGACGTTTGACCATATTTATTTTGTGTTTATATTTTGTATATGTGTGTTATTTCATTAGATGAAAAACCAATTCATCTGGCTAGTGGTCTTGTCTTTGATTTCTGATCGCTTGCGATAAGTCTTGAGAGTAGCCATCAGTCAGTCAGATTAAATAATTGTGTTCATCTATCGACTAACATTCTATTCATTGATTTTAAAAGTTTAGATTTATTAATACAGGGTTATGGAGACTGTTGAGTTCAGATTAATATCACGTTAGACCATCATTGAAAACCTGCAAACACTGGATGGCCGTTTGATTTTAGTATAGGACTCCTGAGGAGTGAGCATCTACGATCCCGTATGCTGGACTCGAACCCAAGACCTTCAATCTCACGCGCGGACACGTAACCTCAATCGATCCAAGCTGAAAAATCTCCAAGACCCTATCATGTACTCAATGGTGGTCGACTTGAAAATGGATATCCTGGAGTCCTAATGAGAAGCCGTGACCAGTGGAGTCCAATCCGTGTCGTGTGTGGGCAGTCACTCACTGAAGACAATGCTGGACGGTCGTACAATATCATTGACTGTTTGAGGTAAGATATTAACACCGCTGGATGCCAACTCAGTGGTCTAGAGTTTAAGGTCTTGGGTTCGAGCCTCGCAAGTGGATGCACATTGCTGAGAAGTTCCATACAAGAACGAAACGGCCGTCCAGTGTTTGCAGGTTTTCAATGATGGTCTAACGTTGATACATTCATGATATCAATCCAAACAATTTAGATTTGTTTAATCTAATCACAGAACATAGTCTCCATAATAAATGTTAAACAATTTTCCAAAACTTTTACTTAAAATGAATTCAGTTACGAAGAAAGCATATCGTATATTACTGCTACTGAGAATTTTTCAAAAGGGTTTTATTATTTTCTTTGTTTGTTTAAGAACGGTCGGTATTCAAAATCTGTTATCTAAATGTATCATACTCACGTTGAGACTGAAGTATCTTAGAATTCATCATGTAGAGGTTCTTTAATCGTAAACTAGAATAAAATAACAGTTCAAAAGCTTTTGTCATTCAATAAATTTGGTAACTATTACCGTAGTAATAAATTTAGTATTATCTTTAGTGCCCGACAAATCAATAAAAGTTTCCGATTTCTATGATGGATTCAAATTTGGTTTAGAATTGTCAATATTCACATTGATAAAATTTGTTTAATATTATTAAAATCACGGACAGACACAATTTAAGCGAATATTTAAAGCCAAAATGCAATAGACAGTCGTTACAGCTTATCATGAGACTCATGAATGTGTCATCGATACAGACTGTTGAAGAGCCCCATACAAGGACGAAATAGCTGTCCAGTTTTTGATGGAGTTTTGTTCTCTGAGCAGTTGTGCCAACTGTGAAAAAAATTACATCGGACAAAGCGGACGCCCCTTTCACCTTCGCCTACATGAACATCAATTAGCAGTCAAACGCCATGATATTTCCTTATTTATACCAATACACGTGGACAACTGCGGACACTCATTCGATTGGAAAAATGTGGGAATCTTGGACAGAGGAAATTCCAAAAACACCATAGGATTTTTAGAAGCCTGGCACTCACTTCAATCAGCAACCAACAGGCATATTGAAATCAATCCAATTTATCAACCAATCAGGAAAATCATGCACAAATATAAGAACAAAAATCAAAACAACGGGAGACACAACCAAAAAAAGGAGTAAACAATGACAAATTTAAGGTTAATAAGAACCAGTCAACATCGAGATGTACAAAACAAGCTGTGAAACGCATATAGAGAAACTTAAAACTTCACTTCTATCTAAAGTTTGTGTTGATGATGTCGTTCAGAAGAACGATGAAAACTCCACGACCAAACCATCCAGCTCAGAGAACAAAACTCTATCGAAATCATCCAACTGAGCTAAAAGTCTTCCCCATAGCTGCCCAGTGGTTCTTGATTTTCAATAATTTTTTAAAAACTTAAGTTCAAGTTCTTCTTGATATGATGGAAAGAAAAGTCAGTTTTCGATTGATTTACTCATTATGAATTTAGTTCAAGATTACTTCCGTTTTGATTCCATGTAATGATTACTCAATGTAGTATTTGTTCTCTTTTCTCGTATGATATTTTCTTCTGTATAATATACGATATTCTTGTATTCCATTGACATGAACTATGCTCAGTATGCGATTTGTTATAACTCTAAGTATTTTTCATATATGTGATTTCATCCTAATTATGAATCAAAATGGGTGTACATTCAATATATAAAGGAGTGTATTTTCTACTAAAGTTGTCGTCGTCGACGTGCTTTGGGGTTAATAAATCATCACTTACACTAGTCTTTGTGTTCTTACTTTTGCGTCGTGAGAATTACAGAGGTCCCTCATTCCAAGTATAAGTGATAAGCGTTTCCGACATCACAATCAGCGACGACCAGATACAAAAAAGTAGCATTAAAGAGCCAAGACAATAAGCATTCAAACGACAAGTTATAACACTTCTGTAGACGATTCTTTTAAAAAAAATGTCTAAATAATTCAACAATAATTGACATGATAACTTACCTGTATTAGTTTTTGTAATTCCTTCGTTTGTTTATTATTGTTATTTTTAGGAAGACGTTGTAACCAACTACCAGAACTGACAGTCAATTGACGTTTCTTTTGACATAATTTACACAACCAAAACACTTCCTGAATGAAATAAACGAAAGAGGAAATTATAAGAGGAAAGAAAAGAAACATTTTGGAATAAATGATTACTAGAATGATCAATCTTTCTAACTGATTATTTAAGACTTTTAATATGTCAAATAATAATCTACAATCGGAAAGGGGGTTTTGTAGAGATTTTAGTAATTTAATAATTGAATTCATGAATCCATTAAAGCTAAATCACCATGAAAAACCTGGAAACACTGATGGCCTCCACAAACACTCATTCTGATAACAATCATCATGTGCTCACCAGTGACAAGCTTCAAAATGGATTTCCTGAAGTTCTAGTGAAAAGCCAACTCCGCCTGTAGCTCTAACAGGGTTACTGCCGGTCCCAAGCCCGGATAAAGGAGGAGGGTTGGGCATGGGGTTAGCGTCCCCATCCCGTAGAAAACTAACTCGCTAAAAAAACGCTTACCAGAAAAAATAATCCAAACCATTTAAACTCTGCCCTGGGAGTTAGAAGGTCTTCAGTTAGAAGAATTATGACGCTTCATGGTGAAAGCCGAGTTCCTTCGGAAGCCACGAGGCCGATGCCCCTTCTAACAACCAGAGCAAAAATTTTTATAGGTACATGGAACGTTCGAACAATGTGGGAAACCGGGAAGACCAGTCAAATAGCAATGGAAATGAGGAGATACAACTTAGCAGTACTGGGAATCAGCGAAACCCACTGGACCCAAGCTGGACAGAAAAGGCTAGCTACGGGAGAGATGCTGCTATACTCCGGTCACGAAGAGGAAAATGCTCCACACACTCAGGGAGTCGCTCTTATGCTGTCCAAAGTAGCACGAAATGCACTTGTAGGATGGGAGTCTCACGGATCCAGAATCATCAAAGCATCATTCAAAACAAAGAAGGAGGGGATCTTAATGAATATTATCCAATGTTATGCACCCACCAATGATAGCAACGACGACATTAAAGATCAGTTCTACGAGCGGCTGCAGTCAATCATTGAGAAATGCCGAAGAAAGGACCTAACTATTCTGATGGGAGATCTAAATGCCAAAGTCGGAATAGACAACACTGGATATGAAGATATTATGGGACGACATGGACTGGGAGAAAGAAACGAAAATGGAGAAAGATTTGCAAATTTGTGTGCATTCAACAAATTGGTCATAGGAGGCACAATATTTCCACACAAGCGTATACACAAGGCTACATGGATCTCACCGGACCACACTACAGAGAACCAAATAGATCATATTTGCATCAACAAAAAATTCCGAAGGACAATGGAAGATGTGAGAACCAGGAGAGGTGCTGACGTAGCTTCAGATCACCACCTAGTTGTAGCCAATTTAAAACTGAAGCTAAAAAGAACTGGACAAGTGGACAAACAGCACTACAAAGGTTCAATACAGCCTTCCTTCGAGATACTGACAAACTCAATGAATTCAAGATAGCTCTCAACAACAGGTTCCAAGCCTTACAAGATCTACTGAATGAAGAAGAAACTACTATGGAGGACAACTGGAAAGGCATCAAGGAAGCATTAACTTCAACGTGTCAAGAGGTTCTGGGCCTAAAGAAACACCATCATAAGGAATGGATCTCTATAGAAACACTGGACAAGATCAAAGAAAGGAAGAACAAGAAGGCAGCAATTAACAACAGCCGAACACGAGCAGAGAAAGTCCAAGCACAAGCTGAATACATAGAAGCAAACAAACAAGTGAAGAGGAGCATTAGAGCCGACAAGAAGAAATACGTGGAAGAACTAGCAACGACGGCAGAAAAAGCTGCTAGAGAAGGAAATATGAAACAGCTTCACGATACAACGAAGAAACTAGCAGGGAAATACAGTAAACCAGAGAGGCCGGTCAAAGACAAAGAAGGCAAGCCAATCACCGAAATTCAACAACAGCGTAACAGATGGGTAGAATACTTCGAGGAACTCCTGAATAGGCCGGCTCCAATGAATCCACCGGACATCGAAGCAGCACACATAGATCTTCCTATAGATGTCAACCCACCAACGACGGAAGAAATTAGAATGGCCGTCAGACAAATCAAGAACGGGAAAGCAGCAGGACCCGACAACATACCAGCTGAAGCACTGAAATCAGACATCGAAGCAACCACAAGCATGCTTTACCTTCTATTCAAAAAGATTTGGGAGGAGGAACAAGTGCCAATGGACTGGAAAGAAGGACACCTCGTCAAGATTCCAAAGAAAGGAGATCTGAGCAAATGTGAAAACTACAGAGGCATTACACTACTGTCAATACCAGGGAAAGTCTTCAACAGAGTGTTGCTGAACCGGATGAAGGATGCAGTAGACGCCCAACTTCGAGATCAACAAGCTGGATTCCGTAAGGATCGGTCGTGCACAGACCAAATTGCAACACTACGGATCATCGTCGAACAATCAGTTGAGTGGAACTCATCACTATACATCAACTTCATTGATTATGAAAAGGCATTCGACAGTGTAGATAGGAGGACATTATGGAAACTTCTTCGACACTACGGAGTTCCTGAGAAGATTGTCAACATTATCCGGAACTCATACGACGGACTACAGTGCAAAGTAGTGCATGGAGGACAGCTGACAGATGCATTCCAAGTAAGGACTGGAGTCAGACAAGGCTGTTTACTCTCTCCCTTCCTCTTTCTTCTGGTGGTCGACTGGATTATGAAGACCTCGACATCTGAAGGAAAACACGGAATACAATGGACAGCTCAGAATCAATTAGACGATTTGGACTTCGCAGACGACCTAGCCCTCCTATCACGTACACACGAACAGATGCAGATGAAGACAGCCAGTGTAGCAGCAGTCTCTGCATCAGTAGGCCTCAGCATACACAAAGGGAAAACCAAGGTCCTCAAATTCAAAGCGGAGAACAGCAATCCAATCACTCTTGATGGCGAAACTCTGGAAGATGTAGAGTCCTTCACATACCTGGGAAGCATCATCGATGAACAAGGAGGTTCAGATGCAGACGTAAAGGCGAGGATCGGCAAAGCAAGGGTCGCATTCCTACAATTGAAGAACATATGGAACTCAAAACAACTTTCAACCAATATCAAAGTGAGAATCTTCAATACGAACGTCAAGGCAGTTCTACTGTATGGAGCTGAAACTTGGAGAACTACAACAACCACCATCAATAAGGTACAAGTATTTATAAATGGTTGTCTACGCAAGATACTCAACATGCATTGGCCGGATACCATAAGCAACAGCCTTTTGTGGGAGAGAACAAACCACCCTCCAGCTGAAGAAGAAATTAGGAAAAGACGATGGAAATGGATAGGACATACATCACGCAAATCGTCAAACCGCATCACGAGGCAAGCCCTAACTTGGAACCCTGAAGGGAAGCGGAATAGTGGAAGGCCAAAGAACACATAACGTCGGGAAATAGAAGCAGATATAAAAAAGATGGATTGCAACTGGACGGAGCTGGATAGGATTGCCCAGGACAGGGTTGGATGGAGAATGCTGGTGAGTGGTCTATGCTCCTTCACGAGGAGAAACAGGCGTAAGTAAGTAAAGTAGTGAAAAGCCGTGACCAGTGGAGTCCAATCCGTGTCGAGCAGACATAGGTACCTCAGACAATGGTTGAAGGGCTGAACAAGATTATGGATCGATTGAAGTTAGATATGAACACCGTTGGATGCCGACCCAGTAGTTCAGAGGTTAAACATTCACGCACGAAGCTGGTGGTGTTTGATTCGAGTTCCCAATGCGGGATGGTTGATGCTCAATATTGAGGAGTTCCATACTAGAACGAAATGACTATCTAGTGTTTCAAGACTTTCAGTCGTGGTCTGACTTAGATCGACTGATGAATTCAATTATTAAAAATACCACAATCTCTATAAACCCACTTTCTGATAGTAATAGTGATGATAATAATAAAAAATGTTAATGTCAGCAGTTTAAAAATCCCCATAGCATATTTAAAAATGAAGAATATTTGAGCGAACAATTGTTTTCAGTAACTTTATCATCAGGCTCAACAGTTATAAGTCCATCATTATGGTATTTTACAAAGGCCAAAAATAAGTTAAGTACTTAAATCGGATTTTCCAGACGACTGTAAGCGGTATGTTTTTAACTTTTCCTCCGTTAATCTCGATGGGACTCAACTAGAAGTGTTATCATTTGGCCCTAAGTTTTGTGATAGTCGTAGCCATGTGGATCATTTGAAGACTGATGTTTATTTGGAGAATCTATTTACCCAGATACAAGGCTTAACGCTCACGACTAAGGTCGAACATGAACGATTCAAAACCACGCTGGTTGATTGCTGTAACTAATTTAAAAGCAACAAGCATTACACAAATAGTATATCAACTGATAAACATCGTGAGGCTATCCGGAAACTAAAGTTGAATGAACACATTCTTATCACTAAATCTGATAAAGGATCGGACACTGTATTTCTAAGCAAGACAGATTACATAGATGAGATTAATTCCGTACTGAGTGATCAAACTAAATTCCAAAAGCTTGGGTCATGTAAAGACCTCAGTGAAAAGACCGAACACCAACTAACTGCAGCATTAAAATTTTTAAAACAACATCAATACATCTCTGAGCATACCTATAATGTGCCCAAGCCTTCTGGAACACATACCCCTTTACTATATGGTCTACCTAAGATTCATAAACCTGATGTTCCTTTACGCCCGATTCTGGATATTTCAAGCTCACCATACCATTCAACAGAAAAATGGTTAGTTAAATTATTAGAACCATTGCACCAAGAACTGATTAGGTATAGTGTTAACGACGTCTTTGGATTTGTGAATACAATTAAAAAATATGAATATAAATGGCAAAACCATGTTATCACTAGACGTAACATCCTTATTCACTAACATCCCTCTGACTGAAACTATCGATTACATATGTGAACAATTGCTAGAAAAGAAAATAGAGATACCGATCCGAGTAAGTAAAATGGAAGAACTTCTGTTGAAATGCACTATGAATATCTAATATAAGTTTCAAC